AAGTGAATTTAACTCTTTAAATGTAAAGATTCAAATCCATTCTCTATACAATGCTTCGTTTATTATTACACAATTTTCTATCATTTATGTGATTCTACAAAATAAAAAATAAATGAGGGAAAATGGTTATCAATAATTCCTAATGTAAAAGGGCAAAATAATGAATAAATGATTATAGATAGCCTTATTGGAGTTGTATAAAAAGATTTGACTCTTTATTTTTAAAAATTCCTTGTAAATGGAGATGTTTTGAATTAGTATATTATAAAGTGTCCCAAAGATTATATGTTTAAGGTGTGTTTGAGCCACATTATTTTTGGAAGAATATATTCTGAAATAATAAATTGATGGAGAATGTGTGGTTGAAAAAGAAAGAAAAGTTATTGATATGATTGAAAATATTATTTTATTGAAAAATGTGTTGCTGAAAATGAGTAGAAGAATGAAAATGAAAATTTTAATATGTACCAAACAGGGGCTTATATTTGGTATGCAATAATTGTCATTGTTAGATACTCATTCTGTCTAATTGATAATGGTTGACTTTCCTTATTATCTTGTTCCAATCATATAGTCATTTTTTTTTATTGAAAATATTTTATTTTGTTCGTTTACTAATGGTACGGTTGATTGCAAGAATTGAATTTTGGTGGAAAGAAAATAAATTTCAAGTAATTGAATTGCGAGAACTTATTTTACTAGAAATTGTCAATTAATTGTATTTGATTGGTATAATTCTTCACCTGAAAAATATTGAAATTTTGGATTTTTTGGTGTTCGTTTGACTTTATTTTCCATAAAAATTGTCCATTAAAGGAATATAATTTGTTACAATTGGTGATAAAATTTATTTTCATTGTAAAAAAAAAAAAATTAAAAATTGCCTAGAAAGCTTTTTCCACCAAGTGGTGGGAAAAGTTTTTCCACAAAAATCAAGAAAATGTGAGCATGTGGGTGAAAGATTGAAAACCAATTTTATGAAAAATTTGGACAATCAAACATGCAAAAAGATGGAAAATGAAATTTAATTTCCATCTTCCATTGAATTGAACTGCAATCAAATAGTGCTTAATTCTTTTATTTAATTTACCTAGTTATAACCAGTGTAAGAATTGAGAATTAAATTATTTAATTCATTTACTACTTCCAACAATAATTTACTAGTCTATGATAATTAAATAAGGTAAATTAGAAAAGTTTTGGCAAAAGTTATTTTTTCAATAACATTAAATGAGATTTCTTAATCCGTGTAAAAAAACAAAATCAATCTATATAAATGAGATAGATTGAGTAATATAATAGACAATATTTTAATTTTTTTTCTTTAATGTTACAACTCGTCTCTAAGGACTGCCACGTGATCATCAGAATTAATATGTGGGACCTGATCTGGACCAACCACCCTAACTTATGCCATGCTTCTGTATAGGCCGAAGTTAAAGTACTGAATTCAATGATATAAATTTAACTGGAAGCAATTAATTTCAACATTTTTTACAAGTGAGAGCGAGCTCGAATTTATACAAGTAAAAGGAATGT